AGTTGCAAAATTACTGAATTACAGTAGTTAACGCAAAAAAAAATTAAATGGGAAAATGTAAATAAAAAAGCACAAATAATATTTACAAAAAATTCCCTTACGTTCAACCGGAAACAGGTTAGATGAATTGGTGCAACATGTCGAAACTAACGATGTAACGCCAATTATTGATCATAATAATGTAAAATTAATGAAAACGAAGCTCAATCGTTAAATAGTGTGTTTAACTGAAGCAACCTTTTGTTGAAGATAGATCATATTCCCGCGTGTCGACATGGCGCATAACATTGCAATTCTTTCCGTGATTCCTAGGTTATCTTACCATCTTCGAATGCAACTTCCAAATTTAACAATAGTTGACGTTTTGCCAGGTATTACTTTTGACATACACTTTCTCTCATACCCGTGAAGCTCGAATTTCTTCGGCTCACGAAAGCTTTCGCAGCGAGCACGTGTTAAAACGCACTACTACTACGATCCGCTGAACACTGAATTTGCGCATTTCGTGTTTAGATGTAGCGGTAAACCCACCCAGTTTAAATTTTGGACGTATACCTTGAATATTCTTTGCAATTTGCAGACTATAATTTTTAAATCTATTATTGTAACAAAGAAACCATAAAACATTAAAGCTTTCCATTTCTCCTCCTATTTATTGCAATTTCATTGTACAATGTAAATATGTATCTTCTTTTCATGTAATTTTTTGTTTTAGATAAACATGATACACTGTCAAAATTAAAAAATGCAGATATAGTGGTAATTGATTGTGATTTGTTTTTACCATATACAGATAAGTTACCATCTTTGAGATGGGCACAAACAACATGGGCTGGTGTTGAATCATTAGTTTCAAGTCTGCGAGATAAAAAAATAAATTATACCATTACACGGTTTTCAGACAAAGCCTTTGGTTTAGCTATGTCTGAATATGTGATAGCACATATTTTTAATTTTGAACGTGCTCAAAGGCAGCAATATGATAATCAAAAAAATAACCAATGGCTAACTGATGGAAAAATTTCTAATCACAGATTAATTTGTGATTTATCTGTAGGTATTTTAGGCTTAGGAAATATTGGAAAGTCAAGTAATTATACTCGTGTATTAGATACTTTGTTCATTATTATTGAGAAAAGTATCAATTTGATTTTATTTGAATATATTTACAATTTTTGCAGTTGCACAAAAATTGAAAACATTTGGGGCATCTGTATGGGGAATGACAAGAACACCACTAAAAGAGAAGTTAGATTATCTTGATGAACACAGAACCACAGAATGTTTGCCCGAAATGCTAACAAACTGTGATTACATTATTAATGTTTTACCATCCTCAAAAAATACTGTAGGTTTATTAAATGGGAATGTATTACAAAATTGTACAAACCGTGGCAGCATTCTTATCAATATCGGTCGAGGTACAATTATTAAAGAAGCAGACTTATTGAATGCTCTTAAGCAACAGTGGATTTTGGGAGCAGTTTTGGATGTTTTTGAAGAAGAGCCATTACCAAAAGAAAGTAAATTGTGGAAATTACCACAGGTAATTATATAATGTAAATTTGTTTTAAAACGTTGACACTAAATTAAAACAAATCCACTTTTAACCAAAGAGAAAATACTTTTACCTAGGTCACCATCTCACCACATATCTCAGGTATAACTCGTGCCCAAGATGTTGTACAGTTTTTCAATGAAAATTATCAAAAGTTTGTTAAAGGTGAAAAATTACTAAACACAGTAAATGTAGAAGAAGGTTATTGAGTAAATTTGTAAATATTGTTGATATGGTATAAAATTAACATTAACATATGTTATTATTATAATTTATAAATAAAAAATTGTTCTTTCAATAATTTATTATATATGTTAATACATATATACGTATATATATTAATTCTATAAAATGTTTAGAAAAGATATGTAGGAACCGAGGAAAAAGTGAGGGACCCAATGCTAATCGACGAATCCGCGACTACGTCAATAACGCCCTCTCTATTTTTCCTCGTCGGTACCCTATTTAGGTATCGAGGCCCCGATCCTACAAATAGTTACTCTGTTTCTTGAATAACTGGATTTGCAGATGGTTTTAGACCTCGTATACTGAGATCATAAACTACTTCTTCCACTTTTTTAACAGCATATTTTAAACCATCAAAACGTTTTCTTAGAGAATCGTTTTTCAAATTTAAAAGCTTGAAGCCTGCATTTAGTTCATTTACAAATCGTGCTATTTCTATAGGTCGATTATAATCACCATTAGTGACGCTATTTATAGCGAAACGGCTCTGAAATGTAATATTTAAATGAATAATAGCTATAATTATATTACCAAATATGCTTACCAGTTCTGCAGCTAATTGTAGCAGGCCCATCAAATAGTCTTCCAAGTCCAAGTGAAATCCATCTTCTCTACTATTTTTAACTACATGTACAGGGTAAATGTTACAGAAAATATATTAAATACAAATAAACGAAATAAATCTCTTAAAAATTACCTACCTCCTAATATTTCTGCAGCAGTCTCTTTGGTAACCAAAACATTAATCTCTAAATATATTATTAAAGAAGCTAGAAAACATAATCTTTGTGTAACAACACGCCATTGTTCATGAAATCTATAATATTGGTTTTTTGGTACAATTTCTGCAAGTCTTGTATAGCTTTTACGCACATCTTCAAACAATTCTCTCGAAGTTACACAATATTGAGATACAACTGCAAATAGAAAAAGTAATAACTACTTTGGTACTTTTAATTCTATTAAAACACACTTACTTATATTTTCTTCCATATTATTTTCATTATGAATATTCTGCAATATCATCAGAATGTCTCTGGCACTTTTCTCAAGATCTCTGACAATAGCACGGATTTCCTTGAACAAAAGAAAATTAATTTTAACGTTCTTCATATACGACGTTTTTAGTTATAACTAAAATTAACTACCTAATATTATTAATGAAAAAGTTAAAGGTTTAAAAAGACATTTAACAACGAGACGACAGCGTGATTATAATCTAACCTAAAATACATATGAAGGGAACGATGGAGTATTTGATACATAACACTCTTTAATGTTTTTAATCATAAAATAACTCTAAGACGTAGTGTGATAATCAGAATAAATAGATTTATTTAAAGTTGTGTTGCAATTATTTAATATCTGCATTATCTTCATGTAATTTCACGTAATTTCAAAACTAGTGTCAAATTATTAATACATACCACACGTAATTCTTCTTCATTGTTTAGATAATCTTGAAATGAATTAAAAATATCATATACTTTTTCAGCCATATTATTGTAACTTTTCAAAAATTATATTAAACAATTTGTGCGTCAACAGTTTGTCAAAACACTGGTGTAAGTGTGTATGTATAAACGCGATAGTAAACAATCCATATTGTAGATGGCGTTATTGTAATTGTCAGATTTCAAATAAAAATTATTCGTTAATATCGAGAAAATATAGACGCATTACTGTTCATCGTATGCTTTATGTTTCTTGTAGAGCCACTTAATAGTTTGCAAAATAATAGAAAATATCAATTTACATAATACACGAGCAGTTCAATTAACGTATAGAGAAACATAACACCTGGTTTCCCTTATTTTCACCGTTAATCAATGAAAATCCGTAAAAATATTACAATACAAGTTACGTACAATACACGCATATATGCACTATTCGAATTTAGTTGTCACATTTAGTCTGGCGACGCACTTCCATAGTCTACTTGAATTACTTTCGAACTTTTTCAGACATGATATAAATAGAACGCTTGATTGGTTTGAAACACCACATCTGACACAGAAAAATTCAGAAAACATAGGTTAAAAGAAAAAGGGTAAAGTGGAACCTAACAATGAATTTTCTTCTCGTAAGAGGAGCATTCGATGTATGCATAATATGATTGGACAGGAAGTACGATCGACATGAATCGATATAAATTGAAAACGTATAATGAAACTTTTTTAGGCTGGCATAAAGGATCGAATAATCGTTTATTACGACGATGATAGAGTCGCGACAGCGCTTTGTACAGGTCGGGAACAGTCTGTAAGCGCGCGAGCCGTAAGCTGCAAGGTCTCGCGCAGTATATAAATAGAAACCAGTAGGTCCTGCTGTGAAGTCGAGGAAGGTGGTTGGAATTCTACAGGATGCCTCTACGTAGCTCGTAGAGGATACCTCGGGGAATCTGCGGGCGTGTCATTGATCCCGATACACGCGTTCAAGCATCCGCGCGAGACTGGCTTTATTGAAAAGTTCACGCCCACGTTTATGAGCTCGCAAGAGCCGCGCGATCAAGTTTGCTAGGATTCACCTGAGAAATCGACTTGATGCAAACAACCAAAAAAGATGCTTCTGTCACATGTGCTCATATCTTCTTTTTCTTTTTCTTACCCAATACCAGAGCCTTTCAAATTCTTTTTCACACAGTTCAACCCTATATAAACTAATGTTTATGTAATGTAATGTTATTCTCAGATGAATACTCGATACTCGGCGAAAGTTAGCGAAAGATCAACTATGCTATGAGAGAAAATGTCGAATGTTTCTATCCTTTCTGGCAATTCTACATTATAATATTCGACACAGTAATCGAAAGTATTTATAATATTTCTGAAAAATATTTTTTATTCTATGGTCATCGTGTGATATAAAAGAATAACGCGGCTTTGCTGGCGACCTTCGACGTTGCAGCTTGTGCATCTTCACGCTTCATTTACGATATCCGAAACTCTGTGGCATTGTTATTCATCGTATAGCCAGAAAGTCCCGTGAGTAACCATACGCAAGATTAGTTTAATTAAATAATATCATAGAAATAATAATATGCTTTTTTAACGATCGGTTTTACATCGAGTGACATCGTTACTTTCAACGAAGATGCCTTTTGCAATATTCTTCCTCTTCGTAGAAGTGTTAACTAACTAACAACAACCGAGAGACACCAGCAATCCAATACAATCTTTGAACCAGAATTTATCTTGAAACCTGATTACTTTATAGCACGATGAAATTTGCTTTATTTGTTAAAACGGTGATTTTTCTGCTCGAGATGCAAAACTATGAACATCAGAGTATACCTACATGCAAGTGCGAGTAAACGGATCGAAGAGGAGTTTGTCGAGTACAAGGAAGAAGAAGAAGACGACGACGACGACGAAGAAAAGGAGAAGCAGCAAGAAGAGGAAGAAGAAGGCTGGGCCAAGACGGTCCGTTAAACTTGCATTCCTCAAGGCGCCAATCTTAATAAAATCCTGGTACCGTAGGCTGTCGTAAATTTTTGGTACCATGCACCGTGTGTACAGCGGTTCAATGCGGTCCGTACGAACCGTTTATTTTTAGCCGCATGATCTTATCGTTCGAAGGAAGATTGTGCCAGCCTCGGGCGTCCTTTTCAGGCATATTTTTTTTGCTTCACCGTAAGGACTATTTACATTTCATTTCAACGAGTAATCGTTCGGGATTTCTGCGCACGAAACGGGACCCGCGCGATTCAATTCACCATGCGATCCACCTTCGCGAGGGAAACCTTGATGAAAATTAAACCATCGATGTGCATATGTACGGCATCAAGGGCGTGATTTCAGAATAAATGGCTAACAAGCGGCTAATATAATACGCCACGATTTCTACACTTGAGGTTGTTTAACGAATTTCGCGATTAATATTCAACGCCTTTTCACATTGCCGTCACGACTGTTACACGTCGCGTAAGAGGCAATCTAGTAGCCGCCTAAATATTTGTACGTTAAACAGGTTCTCTCTTGCTCGTTTTCGTTTCACAGCTACGATACTGTCAATATACACGCCGATAGGTATACTTGCAACACACGAATACAACCAGATGTATATATGTATTTCCTTCGATTGTTCTTTAATGTTGTTAGAAACACGGAACGAAGTAGCTTGTTAGTTACATCGCTCAGGTGTATCGCGAGATTATTTATCACGGACACACAGAGTGGCTACGTGTCGATGGGAATAGAAACGTTGTACTTTCATCGAAATTAGACAAAAGATATTATCGGAGAGACAAATTCATTTGGAAGGCCGGCACTGTCGACAGAGTTGGTTGATGTGTGGGCAGTAGTTAGTGTAGTCAACGTACGCACAACACACGTGAAATGCATCGGCGTAAATGTCAGGGTCACCGCGCGCGGCACACGTAGCAGCCTTTCAGACAGAACGCCGATTAAACGTCGATGCTTTCGCTAGAATTTTGCAATCGTTCGCAAATGAATTGTTCAAGTGATTAGTTTTTCAATTGTAGCTAAGTTACGCACCAATCGAGACAAACGTGAGAATGTGAATACTTTTTGTAAAAGAGTAGGAGAGACGAACGAGACATTGATTCCTTTCTGCGACGTATCCTCTGGATGTTTGAATTGAAACGGCAGAAAACGGCGGGAATTGAAGTAATTCGAGCGGAAAAGGCAAGACAGTCTGTTTTGATTCGTATGAGAGCATAAAAAGGAGGGCTTCGTATGGGTGGCGCCGTGTTAAAGAAATGCCCCCGGGCGTTACCTTTTTACGTCATTGCTGGAGAATTTCCTACCCGCTGGCTGCTGGCCATTGCGAATCACAGTACCGGCATAATATCGAACCGTTAAGAGCCGAGAGCAGAACAGAAGAATCCGTGGAATCCAAATAAACGTCTGGAATTATATCTTACGCTCTTTGCGATATTAGAGGACATACTACGTAAGTACCAGGGGACGTGACTCGAGAATGAACAACTCACGGAAAGTCACATTCGCCACGACGCGTTTTACAACCTGTTTTCAACCTTCGATTCTACGATCTTCCGTTCAACCATGTTTCTATGCTGAAAGAGAGAGAAAGAGAGAGCGAAAGAGATTGTATATTTGTTGCGGTAGGTACACGTCAACTTTCTTACGATTTTCCTAATTGGTAACTGATAGGAGGGAGACACCACTGTGAGAAAAAGATGGAAAAAAAGTAAACGTCGTCGTTTAAAAATCACCGATAATAAATTGTTCTAAAACGCAACGACTGGGAGAATATCGTATACAGTGGAAAAGTCCTGACATTGTCAGACCGTATGCTTCCTATAGCCCTCCCTTCTTAAAATACGAAAAAAACGGCCATTTGGAGGTGGTAGTTAGGTCGTTAAGGTGGTAGAAATTAGGGAAGAATTTTCTGTAGAAAGATATCAAAGGACACTAGTTGTTCGGGTTCAGCACGAAGAGCAAAACACACCGTCAGCGGGGAACCAACAGGTTTGACTTGCCAGACTAGTTAATAAATTATAGTAGTCAGCCGCCATCTTCATCTTCGAAGTTGCAAATGAGAATTTGGAATACTGATCAGCAATTGCGAAATAAAGTCTCACGTTCGTTCTAGATGTAACTCTGTAAAAAGAATAAAGAATCTTTATGTTTTGAAACGGTCCTTCCTGAAACGAGTGATAATTCTTTAGTCAACACCGTGAAATTTATCGTTTAATATCCAGTTGCATTTTACCGCGAATTTTTATTCGATGTATCGTAGACTTGTTCGAGGTTGAGAACTCCTAGGATATCTACCTAAAGCGAATTCATTCAAAGATCGCCGTAGCCTGAACAAAAAAAAAAAGGAAAAAAAGACCCTATAGGCCACCCACAGTCATCAAGATACGATCACGGTTATAGCGACCTTGAGCCTATGCCTCGTCCAATGTTCTCTCTATCTCTATCACTTTGCAGAAAATTCGGCAACTCAGAGAGATTGCACTATTGTGCTCCTGCGAATAATAGGATATAATAGGTAGATCAATGGTAATTATTACATAGGTACAAACACAGGCGTAATGTGGATGCATTTTTCGCGCATCTCACGTTGCCTCAAATAGTATAAACACGTATGTGTTGTACATTAGCGATGCAGCTGGGTAAGTGGGTAGGCTCACGTAGTTCGTACGACCTTCATAAAAACTCGTCGATCAGAGATTGCCGGGAATGTTGAGTGAGAACTCGCCGTCTACGGGGTGGCGAATAAAAAAGTAGGCGCCTACCTTGGCAAACGAGACACCGACGCTAACTACCATGCCGAGTAAATGACAGCGCAATTATGGAGATAAAAACAGTGGCGACTGCGCGAGGAAACAAGCTATGTCGGAACAAATAGGTATATACGTCAACGAAGTCGTTACGATTGAGTCTCGCCGTGAAAAAAAAAGAAAAAAAGAAGCGGCTCCACCACCATTTATAGATCGTAGATTTATAGAGGATCATAATTTATCGGGCACGGTGGTTCTTTTTATTTCCCGTTAACCAGATCAGCTTCTTTTCTCCGTGTGCGATGCACAATTCATCTGAAAGGGAAAAAAGTGGAAA